TATTAGTGAAACTTACCTCTAATACTATAAAAAGATAATTTGCAGATAACATGATTTTTTTTTTGGGGCCATGCAAACAACATGACTTGTTAGATGATGCTTATATCCAAACTATACTTTACCACTTGAATTATCCTCCTGTAGCATTGCATTTATCCATTTTTATGTACTATTCAGTCTATAGGTAATAATCATACCAACTCAAAATGACCTAAATGTTAATATGTTGTTCTCGTCTCTTAAGTGAATAGTTGGGGTAATGTTTTGAAAATCAAGCCAAATGATAAACTAAAAATGTTAGTGGGCTATGATTCTCAAAATTTAACTTGTCAGACTAGTAATTGAACCATGATATAATTTTTAAATAAAAATAATATTTATGCATGCACACATAACATTAAAAATGCCAAATATGCCATTCCCAATTCAAAGTTATTGAGCATAACATATTAAGTTTTAATTTTCTCACTTTTTTATATGTATATTTTTTTTATTTACCTAATTTGCTCTATTAAAACGAATGAGTTTTTAATTTTCTTTATAATTAAGTTCATATTATGTCAATAAACAAATTGTGTATTTAAAATTTTACAATAACAATTCAGAAGGAGGTTGATATTAATCTTTTAAATTGAATAAAAATTCTTATTACTAACTAAACAATTGTAAAATGTTAAACAATTCTTATTAACCATTCTAATTCAGAGTTAATCTAAGTTTGTTAAACCCATCCGGTTCAAAATGGTTTATAATGGATGAATCCCTTAAATGAGTCAGGCATTGTTTTGTAGCCTAGAATTGGCCAAAATGGAATAAATTTGGAATTGAAATCATGAAGTTGAGATGTTTGGTATATATCAATTCAAATCACCAAGAATCTAAATTCAAGCAAAATGCCTTGAATCATGGTGAAATTGGCCCAATTCCAAGAAGTTCTCATCATTGCCCTCAATCTCTCTCCACTGCAGGTTTCTGCTTTGCCATTAGTTGCTACCCACTCATCATTGTCAGTTGCCCAATCTTGGCAACCAGGAGCTTGGCTCTATCCCAGACCTCTTTCATGGTGGTTGGCTTGGTGGTGCCGCCACTTGCCTAATCTTGACAACTAGACATTACAACAACAAAAAAAAAAATAAATGATGATTATTTTTACTTATATATGACAAGTAATAACTGTCATATATAAGTTTGTTATTTAATTTCATCTCTTTAAATGACGAGTATTTAACTATCATATATTGAGTCTTAATATATGACGGTTATTAATTGGTTATTATCAATAACCGTCATATATCGAGGATTAAATATGAAGTTTATTACAAATAACTGTCATGTTTACTCTTTTTTTTTTAAATAAATGCAGCACTTGCAACAACATATATACAAATAATTTTTATAACCAACATTTTTTCATATCCAAACAGCAATACAATTAAACTAGGATAGAAATTAGTATCAATATTTCAAAAATGTAACTCATTCTAAATTATCATTTCTTTCACATTGTTAATAACCAATAAAATATGGACTTAAAAAGAGACACCAAACTCCCTCTTTTGCAGATCCATCATCGTTACCATGGCTTGGCTGAATAAAGTTTAGCTTTGGGACTTTTGCTACAAAACCCTTTTTTCTTTTCTAAGAGCTTGTGCCTTTAACAACATCTCTGGTTTTCCTACATCGAGACAAATCTTTATAACCATTCATAAAAGCTCTAAATATACTTAAATAGAGTTTCACGTATGAGCCACTACGGTGAACACATAATCACACAACAAGACAAACAAGATCATAAAGAGAAATCAAATAATTCCAAAGTAAACAAGAAGATCGAGGTAAAGAGAAATCAAATGTGACAAAGCAAAACTTGGGTTTCTAAATAACTAGCCCAACGATGGCACTGAGGAAGAGGTGACATAAAGTTCTAAATGTGAGCCTTGGTCTGCCATTTCTGCAACAATACACAAAAATGGTTGAAGTTATAAGGTCTTTCATGTAATCATTCATCCTAAAGGGAAAGTTCTATGCATATAATTTATCACAAGCTATATCTGCATAGTGTGGGTATCAGAGTTCTAGAAATAGAAAACAGAGCTAGGCTGAAGTATATGTAAATAGTATTCTAGAATGAGTGGCAAGAAAGCAAGATTAAACAAACGCTCTAAGCAATAAGCTTTGACATTAGTTTAATGGTTATGCTCTTTTCTTTTCCTTTCTTTTGACCAAATCAAACTATTCCAAAATATTTTTTCCCATAAAGACTATGTGTGTGTGCACGCGCGCGCTTTGATGAAATGTAATCAATTAATATTAATTAGATATAACCAAATCTCAATCCATCACTTTAATCATCAACCTATTTCTACCCATATTTTAATAGTACGCCACATTCGGAAATATTCTATTTTTATAAATCCTTTTTCTTCACACCACCTATTAAATACTTCTAACAGCTAACAGATGCTAATCTTTTTCTATACAAGTAAATCACAACTAAAGAACAGTAATGGACAATCGAAAATCGCTTACGGGTTTGCGGTGGATTCCAAGATAAGCCCATGACATAGATCTAAATCATGAGCAACAGAGGATGATTTCACCAACTGAGTCATGAGCAATCTACACAAATTGGAATAGAATCACGGACAGCATAGTGGGCTTTATCGAGGACGGTGGCTGTGGAGCTTTGATGCAATGAATGGTGGAGCAAGTGACATCGGACCATTACGGCAAATAGTCATCACCACAAGGATCATCTCCAAACCATGTGGATGTCATCGAGTTAGATCAAAGGTGAATGATGATAGAGAAGAAGAACATTGTCGTGCGAGGAAGAGGATAGTTGAGCAAGATGAAAAACAACAAGTGCTTAAAAGAAAAGAAAGGCCTAGGGCATCTATTTGGTTAATGATATACTATGGGTGTTTTAAAACTTGTCATATATAGTTATACATATGTCATATATTGTATTATTTATTTTTATTTTTATAAAAGTTCAAAATCTAAACTATTATATGACAGTTTTCTAAATATCATACAATAATATATATAAATAATGGGTGTTTGAAACACCTGTTATATATTCACTAACCATCACTCACCTTATTATTATATGATAATTTTTTTTAACCGTCATATTTTAGGACATCTTATATCTAGAATTTTGTAGTAGTGAAAGTTTGACTCTATCTTGAACCTCTTTCATAGATGTTGGTTTGGTGGTACTGCTGCTGGTGCCTTTCAAGCTTGTCTTGATGCTGTCTCCTTGCTCCAACTACCGCATTAGAATGGAGGTGATTGTCAAGAATGACGACGATGACCCTGTGTGCTTCTTTCGCCTCTGTGACTTCTGCCAACAGCCCCACCTATAGTGGAGAGACGATCATCAAGATCAACGATACTGTCTTCAACTTAGTAATTTGCAACTTTGCGAGCAACATGGTAAAAATGCATGGAACCGAAAACTATAGATTCTTACAAGGTCCTTGGGGTTGATAAAAATGCAAGTAAACAATAAATTTAGAAGGCTTTCCACAAGATTTCTCCCTTTCTCCCTCCCTCCCTCCCTCCCCAATATCACTCAACAAGAACAAAAACATGGGTTTGGTTTGAATGACCTTTTTGGTAGTCTTTTTGTTGATAGGGACATTTTTTTTTCTTTTCTTATTTTACATATATTTATTTATTAAAATTATATCAAGATGTCATCTTCATTCCAAACATACTTATAAAATACAATTTTATTTTAATTCCAATTTTTATTCTGATTTTATCAAAAACCTTTTCATAATACCAAATAAAGCTTTAAGGGGTCAAACTGAATTGCTTATGTACTTTGGTGGAGGTCCAACTTGGCTTGTTCTGGGCATTGGAGGTTCAATTTTTTATTAACCCTCGTTGGGAGGATTTTACTATTTGCCTTCGCCTTTCCCTTTCCAAGGGAAAATTAGTTTCCGTACTTGGTAGAGAATCCTCCTTATTTAAACAAAAAATAAATACAAATTATAGCATTAGTATCTTTAATAAAAATGAAATTTTTGTAATTTATTTGCTATTTATTGGGTCATTTTTAAATTAGTTGCCATATTTTTCGTTTTACACAAACACCTTTATGTGTTTACACAAGAAGACTTATTCAGCCATGTTCTAATTTTAGTAGGAAGAGATGTTGATGTTAGTATCCAATCATATTTTGAATATAATTATTTATGATAAAAGAGACTTGTACATAATAAAAAAAAATATTTTTATATAGTGTATATGCGGAACATTTTTTTTTTTACAATGAATACCAACTACTTATTTTCCAAAATAAATGAGAAGAATCAAAAGATTGCGTGGTTCAAATTATATGTGCCTAAGTGCTTTTTTTTTTTTGGATAAATGAACAATTAGTATAGGCACTCTATGGTTGTACTTTATATAGGCATTGAGCGTTTATACCATTTGAGTTATTGAAATTCAGATCAACAATTTAGATAAATTTATTCATTCATTAATCTTAAGTGGAGTATAAATTCATAATCATTGATTTAAATTTTAATAATTTAAATAGTACAAGTACTAGGTACTGTCATCGAATTTAAATCAACAAATTAACTCATAAATTATAAGTTCAAAAATATCTTAGACTGCAAATTTATTTTTTTATATAATATTTTTTTAACTTTTAAAAATGGTATAATCTGATCATTGTCATTAATATAAGTTAACTTTAATTATTAGTTAATGAAAAAATAATAAAATATAATTTTAAAAATTACAAAAATATCCAAAAATTATAGTAAAAGTCTAAAATCACAAACAAGGATTAAAAATAAGTTTATGGTCCGAGACTTTTTGGACACTAATTTGTTTATTCATCCTTTAATTTTTAAAAAATTATATGAACTGGCCCGGTTTCGGGTTTCCTATGCTCGTGCGCACTACGCACCAGGCGTCCAATAACCCGAATCGAATTCGCCTGTGAAAAATAATAAATTAAGAAAAGAACACCTAATTCCCTCTTCGTTTTCTTGTGTCTTCTTGTCACTCTCTGTCTCCATCTCTTGTTGCTGGTCCGATGCGCTCTAATTTGATTCTTATTCTCTTCGATAGAGAGATTTCCAATGATCTTTGAAGCTTTGGTTCTGTCGGTGAGTTCCTTAGAAGAGGTGGCCAACTCAGGGAGAATTCCTGGTTCTAATTTTTGAATTCTTGTTTTGATGCTTTTGGGTATCGGACAAGAGGAAATTCTAGGGTTTTTCTGAAAATAGTTGTTGACTTAGAATGCCGGCGCATAGATCGAAATCGGAGAAGCATGATGCTGCGAAGCAGCCTCGTCGAGATCCCTACGAGGTACTCGGCGTCTCACGTAACTCGACAGATCAGGAAATCAAAACAGCTTACCGAAAAATGGCGCTCAAGTATGTCTACATTGTTTCTTTTGAGTGACTTGTAGCTTTTTTAATTTATCCCCTCTCGTGAAGTTAGTTGTGGAAAATTTGAATAATTTCCTTGCTGTTGGTAAGTAGGCGAGTTTTGAATTTTTAGTTATTTAGCTTTCGGGATTTTTGCGTTAGAAGCTTAGGTTAACTTACCAAGATGCCTTTTAGGACTGGTTAGACTGAATAGTTTGAGGGGGAATCAGCCTTGGAGCCAAGAGAGGAGGGGAACAATTCCGGAAGTTCAAGATTATTGGTAACTTATTCGATTGGTTAGCGAATTACTGGGTTCAACCTTAAACTGAATTCTGGGTTACATGTGTCATAATACTGACAGTAGTCGGCTCTTCGCGTTAACTCAAAGGATTGATGATTGAGCAACAATAATTTTTCAAAATGATTAGGCTGACAGTATAAAGACTAGTAATTAGATCCTAGAGCCAATGGAAAAATTTCCTGGGTTTCCCCAAACGTTACCAAAACATGTTTATCGTTGAATAAAATTAGGATGGTATTCTTTGTCTTAATCCTAGACGGAGAAGAAGAGGGTAGTGTCATGCTATAGAACATGGCAAGGCAATTGTTGATACTTTATTCTTTATTTATGCATTGCACCCTTCAGAAGAATAGTGTCAGCTTTTGCAGTCAGATTGGCTTCATGCATCTAAGTGATGCTTAAGTGGAATATTACTGAAATATATTAATGGCCCTTCGGGGGCAATCAGTTCGTTGAAGTCTCGCTGTGCTCCTTATCTTCTGAATCAAGGCAATTTAGCACTAAAATTGCTGAATTTGTTTCATTTCAGATGTCATCCTGACAAGAATGCTAATGATCCTAAAGCAGCCGATATGTTTAAAGAGGTCACCTTTTCATACAATATCTTGTCAGATCCTGACAAACGGCGTCAGTATGACTCATCTGGATTTGAGGTGATGCATATTGTGTTTCATATTATGGATAATCGACTTTTACATTATCTCAGGATCTTGACATCAAATCCATGTGATGTGATGGATTATCTCATATTATGTAGGCCATTGAATCAGATAGCCAAGAATTGGAGTTGGATCTTTCAAGTTTGGGTGCTGTGAATACAATGTTTGCTGCGCTTTTTAGGTAACAACTTGCCTGCTCTGCTAATTCCCTCTTGTTTATCCCTAATTTTATTCATGAATCACAGTAAACTTGGTGTGCCAATTAAGACAACTGTATCAGCAACTGTTTTGGAAGAGGCACTTAATGGTGTGGTGACCATTCGTCCACTTCCCTTGGGGCATCCTATATGTAGAAGGGTAAGCTGTTTACTATTCTGATTATCGATCCTCCTTTTATATCAATTGTCATATGCATTGTCTTCTGTTAAATATTCATTTTTTTTGTTTGGTGGCCATCATCAGGTTGAAAAGCAATGTGCTCACTTCTATTCAGTTACAATAACAGAAGAGGAAGCACGGGCTGGTTTTGTTTGTCGGGTGCAATCATCTGACAAAAGCAAATTTAAGGTTAGAATTTGAATATCTTTGGCCGGCTTTGTTTATGGCATATGTAGATGTAGATTGATTTTTCCACTGAAATCCTTAGAAATATATGACTTCCTTGAAAAGACGATGGCTTTTATTCTTGGGCAGATTGATTTATTGAACTTATCGCCTTGCTTACCCCCCCTCTTTTTCTCTCAATTTCATAATCCAGGTATATGCATTTCTTAAATGAATTTTAGTTGGTATTGTTGGCCAAAATTTAACAGTATGTGAAAATGTATTCTGAATAACAACATCCATTCCTTATGTTATTGTCTATTGATCTCTTCTCATTAGAATTTTCCCTCCACAGTTATTATATTTTGACCAAGAAGAGAATGGTGGATTGAGTCTTGCACTCCAGGTATTTAAGCTGTTTCCTCTGTGTGTGTGTGTGTGTTTTTTTTTTTTTTTTTGGGGGGGGGGTGAGAGAGATTTTTCTTCCTGCCAGTGCATTCTTATTTTTTGGTGGTTCTCTTAGCATTCCTTTGGGTTTGTGTCTTCAAATCCAAATATCCTAATGACATTTGAAGTTACTAATTATCATTGTAGGAAGATAGTGCTAAAACAGGAAAGGTTACCTCTGCTGGAATGTATTTTCTTGGTTTTCCTGTTTATCGGCTTGATCAAACAGCAAATTCAGTGAGTCTATCAAACAATGCAACTCCAAATTTAATCTTTGTCTTTTTCATTTTCTTAACATGTTTTCTTCGGGTGTTTTCTATCCAGATAGCTGCTGCTAAGGATCCTGATACATCATTTTTCAGAAAGCTGGATGGGTTCCAACCATGTGAATTAACAGAATTGAAGGCTGGCACCCATGTTTTTGCTGTTTATGGTAAATGCGTACCCATGTGCTCAGTGCTCCAATTATTTTTTTATTGTAATTATGCTTTTGTGTAAACTGTGAGATGCTGTACTTAGGTGACAATTTCTTCAAAAGTGCAAGCTATACAATAGAAGCTCTCTGTGCTTCACCTTTTAGTCAAGAAAAAGAGAGCCTCAGGAACATAGAAGCTCAAATCTTATCTAAACGGGCAGAACTATCTAAATTTGAGAGTGAATATCGAGAGGTCAGAACTTTGATTTAAGTTGCGCATATGGTTCTAATCACGTTTCTTTTCATCAAATCTCACATTTTGTGTTGATAGGTTCTAGCACAATTTACAGAGATGACAAACAGGTATGCTCAAGAAATGCAAGTGGTGAGTAGTAACTGGCAAGTTTAGAGTTTCTAGTAAATTCCCCTCTTGTTAGGACCTTTCTATTTTCATTTGTCTTAGTTACAGCTATCACTGAAGCATTTTTGTTTATTCTTGGCATAATTGTGCAGATTGATGAGCTACTGAAGCAAAGAAATGAGATACATGCATCATATACCATTTTTCCACTAAAACGTAGTACAAGTAAGAGTAGGAGTAAAAGTTCTTCCAAGGAGGCGACGGAAGAGAGCCAACCAAGAGAGAGGAGATTTACAAGAGGCCGATCAAAGAAGAAATGGTATAACATCCACTTAAGAGTTGACAAGAGAAAGGCTTGCTGAGGTGAGAATTGGGTCTTGACAACTTCCTTTGTCTCGCTCGTATTGATCAAGTAGAGTTTTATTTTAGAATTTTATGCTAATCTGTGAACCATGGAGAGACAAAACATTTTGAGCTTTGCACTCTTGTTTGTGTAGCGCTTGTTCTATTGCAGAAGACTTTGCCAAAGTGACAACATGATGTTGTTGGGAGGCGGCCCCATGGATATGTCTATCATACACGCATGTCAAGGATGACAACAACTCATTGTTTTTGTAAAAATTCTTCCCCCCCTTATTTTAATTTGTCTCGTTTTAGCTCATCTTCAGAATGTATACTTGTAAATTGTTTGATTTATTGTTGAAGCTGGATCAACTCTTTGCACGGGTTGTAATTTTGGGTAGAAGTAAAGGAAGCTGTGGTGGTTACTGGTTAGAGCCAGGTACGTTAGTATTCAATGGTAGGTCAAAGTAGCTAGCATGTAAATGGGCAAGATATTTGCCGCTGTCAACATCGGTGCTTGACATTTGATAACTTAAGTACTTTGTTAGATTTATCCTGTATTGGCATTTTCTTTTATTCACATTTTTAATAAAGACAACCAATTCCTCGCTCAGATTATAGGCGGTTAATTCTTGATTCCTGCTTGTCATCCTTGTGAGGAGACATTTCAATCTTTCTTGTATCATCCCAATTTTATCAAACGTCCTCAAAGCCCGAAAGGACATTATAGGCAGCTGATTGGTTTGGACTTTCAAGGGTATATACTGCCGTTGGTTTCTTTTTTTTTTTTTTATTTTTTTATCTCTGCATGATTTGACGCCTTTTCAATTCCAAATTAATAGAAGGAATAGTTAATTTGTGAGTTCCTACGGTTTTACTAGATTTTGCATCAGGTCCTTACAGCCCCCCTCTTTTATTGGGTTTCATAATTCCCTTTGTTAAATGGGTTTTAGTCCTTCATACCCTTGCCTCTTTGAAGAATCAAATCGGAACACCAAATCTAGAATAAAATGCAATTACTTGCTTGCTCTGTCAGTCACAATCTGGTTAGATGGGAACTATTGCGCATTTATCAATGGAGAAAAGGAGGGACTAACGGGATCAACAAAATAAACTACAAGGATCTATCAAAGTGTTATATATATATATGTATGTATAGGGATCTGATTCAAAATATGATGAAATTAGAGGGACCATCGTATTAATTTTTCCTTTAAAAAAGTAACCAGCTGCTTGTGAGATCTATGACATTCAAAGATTCTCTCGACAACCGGCCTGCATGGCTCTATTAACAAATGCGCGCCGTAATATTCATTCAAACGTGAATAAGTGTATCCGTACGATGTGCTTGACATTTTTATTTAGTGCAATGCCAATAGAGCTGGTGATTGGAGTGACCTGGGTTTACTCAAGTCGGGTTAGAAATATTTATTTTTTTTTAAAAGTTCATATAACAAAACTTGATCCTAATTTTTTTGGATTGGGTTCGGGTTAGTTTATTAAATTTGATAGAAGTTGCTAACTTTATATACATATCTAGCTGAAAATTCCAGCGGTTGAGCTTATTTTAGTTGGGTTTATTTGGATCGAACTTAAAATATCCCACCTTTTTAAAAAGATCATATAGCAAGTCTTGTTTTAACTTTTTGCGGATGAGTTTGAACTTGGCCCGAATTATCGGCTCTAGATATCAATAAAATCTAAAAAAAATAAATTTATAACAATTAAATTCTTAATAAAACTTTTATAAAAACTAATTTTAAATATTAATTCATATAATAATAAATTTAAGAGTTTTAATTGTAAATAAAATATTTAAATTTTAAATAAAAATATTAATTTATAATTGATATTTCTGTTTGTAATTGTTTATATTGATCTTTGTAATTTATTTTTTAAAAAATTTTGTTGAGACTTTAACTGTCATAACTTTTCAGTTTTGGGATTTCATTGTTATTATTATTATTATTTTTTTCAATACCACCAATATATTTAACACAGCAATGCGTAAAACTCTTTCTCGTACCGGCCTTTGCTATATTTGGTTCTCCTGGAAGTGTCACTGACCATACAATTTTTTTTCCCCACAATTGGTTTGAGGATTTAGCCAACGGATGTTTGATTGAATTAAAGGCAACCTTTGAATAGTAAGAGTTCATGATGTACAATATAAAAATGGATTCATGATATTAAAAAATGTTTTATATTGAAATAAAAATGTTCTATAAAAATATTTTAATTTCTTTCAGAGAATAAATATTAAATAAAAAGAGAAAGAATAATATTAAAATAAAAATATTTAATGAAATTTTATTATTCTCAAAATATTTTCTATTTTGAAAGGTCAAATATTCTCTAAACATATTTTATCTCTGAGACAGAGGAAATATATGTTTTGCTCAACAATCCAACCAGTGATTGAGTGACAAAATGACAGAAAAATTTAGAGAGAAATACATGCAGGTCTTACACAAAAAAAAAAATTAATTATTACAATATTAATTAATAATTGAAATAAGATCATTTATATATATTGTAATAATAATTTTTGATGTAAAATTTTCACGTAATTTTTTTCAAAATTTTACTAAATAAAAAGAATGGATCCCAAGATGCACAAATTACAGGCAACAGAAAGTAGGGCGTACATAATTGAAAATCCTGATTCTTTTTTTTGATTAAATGAACATTCTGTATTTTATTACTAAAGCCAGGAATCCAACACCCAAATAAAGAATTATTTGGCCGAAACGATGATCATCGGCTTGATTCATGCGTCTCAGATTTGATAACAATGGACTTAAGAAGACAACAAAGAGACTGCTATTCCTTCCCAGGTCTCAGCTCTCAACACGAATATCTGAATTTCTCATCCTTTCTTTCTTTTTAATTTCACGCCTTTTCTGGTTTCAGATTATGCATCGTGTGGTACTGGAACCAACTCTATAATTTGCATTTTAATCTTACATTTCTGTATTGATCAGTTTATCTGTGTTTGTAATTGTAAAAAACTTACTCTCAACGTTGCAGTGAGTTGAAAGTGTCGCATCTGTGACGAATCTCTCCTTGATTCCCTGTCTTGATGTCCAGATTGCTAACCTTGATCATCGCATTAGCGAAATCTTGGAAGAACTTGTTCTGATTCGCTGCATACAGATCCACGAACGACTTCGTCCTCTTGTCCAGCCATAACGCCGTATCCGTTGCCAGCAACCCCAATCCTCTCTGCAGGTTCCGGTAATACATGTTGTCGAACTTCCCCGGCGTCATCACGTCGTTGAAGGCGCTCATTCCTGGGTCTTTGCTTGCGTTCGCGCACAATTTCTTCAATCCTTCTACGTACATGCTGTTCATCGCCGGATCGCTGGCTGAGGTCTTGCTGAAATTGAAAATTCTGTAGCTGAATTGGCTGCAGTGAGAGAATCCTATGGTGTGGGCACCCGATAATGCAACCATTTCTTGTAAAGAGAATCCCTTCGATGCGAAGATCGAGATGATTTTGGATAATGTCATTGTTGGCTTCGGGTATTTTCCTTCTGCGTCTTTTGCTTTTGATTCCAATCCGTCTCTTCGGCCTAATCGGACCTCGTAGAATGGCCCGCCGACAATGACGACGAGGTCACGCGCCGCTTCCGCTAGGACGTCTGCGCAGGATACAACACCGGGGCATTCCAGCTCGAGGGCGTTCTTGGCGCGCGCGACCACGTCGAAGCCATCGCCTGGGAGGGAGAGGTTGATGTCGGCGTCGCGCTCGGCTGTGTTGAAGGCGTTGCTGGAGACCAGAACGGAGGCGTCGCAGCCTCCCAACATGCAGTCGTGGAAGAAGAGGCGGAGGGCGGCGGCGGCTGTGGTCGGCGTCGTTTGTTGCTTGTCTATCACCGTTTTCTGGACGATTTCCTTGAATTTCGGGCATGTTTTCTGGTAGTAGTTAACGTCGAGCTCGGACTGGATCAATGGAAGAAATGCAAGGCAGAAGAGAAGGAACAAGAGGGACCGAAAAGTCATGGTAAAATCAAAAGTTAGGACAGAAGAATATCACAAAATGGTCAATTTCTGAAGTGAAAAGTTAAAAAAAAAAAAAAGAAAATCCAAATGCTAAATTTTCAAAAGCACTTCAAATTCATGGGGGAAGAAACAAACTCTCAACCGTCTTATCTGAGAATGAATCAAAATGGTGAGTCTAGTTTCTGAACCTGTTGATGAAATGTGAAAAGAAATTGATGGTAAAACAATCGTGGAAGAGAGACTTCACAGGAAGGTAAAACTTATATTTAGACATAATTGTATGTCTCTGCATCCTCAAGGCCTTTTGGTCGCAGATTTTATTTATTTATTTATTTAGTGCTAATTTGAATTGCTAATAGGCTCATTCTGATCTTTTATTGCTATTGTTAGCTGGAACCAGATCCTCTCATAATCCTCTCAGAATCCCTCCAGCAGCCCTCCATCCAAGTCCTGCAAACAACATCCAATATCCCATGCCTTGTCACAGCATCCCATGTTGAAATAATTTAATTTTAACAAATAATTCTTTCACAATTTATTTCACCATTATATATATATATATATATTATAATAATGATTTAATTCTTTTTTTTTTTTTACATTTTTTATCTTCAAAACTTGTTCTAAAAAATTATTTTGAAGATGTTTTTCAAATATATTTTTGTTAAAAGATTAAGTCAGACTATAAGTCCCTACAAACCTACCTATATTTTTATTTAAAAGAATTTATAGAATAGGCTTGTAGTGTTAGGTAAAGTTGGCACCCAAAAGAGTAGTGAATTGAGTATTTAAAAATTTTCACGAAGTTTTTCCTAACCCAAAAAGATGAAGAACACATAAATAAAATTTAAAGCAAAAATTTTGTGACAGATAAAAGGCTCGAGGAAAGAGAAAACTTGATAAAAGAAATTTATCCTGATTCAGTCTAACTACTTGGCTTACATCCAGTTCTCAACCTCACTTTTGAGATTTTTTTTACTAAAACACAAGCTTAATTGGGTGTTTGTCACTATAATATAACTCATAAGACCATAACATTTTTAATTTCACAACAAACTTTACTAGTAAGCTGTTACAATTTTTTTTAAAAAAATCTCTTTATAAGATTTTGAATCAATAAAGAAAAAGCTTTTCATAATAATAAATCTAAAAATGAATAAATGTAATAACAATGAAAGTTTATAAATCTTTAAGAGCTTTTTTACAAAGTTGACAGAATATTGGTACGAATTAAATGCAAATCACTTAATGCCCAATGAATGTGTTGCCTTCTCATTTAAATGAAGTCTTATATATAGTTCAAGAGGTTTAAGACTGTTAAGAACACTTAGCTAAAAGCCACTTTTCTTGCATTCAAAATTGTAGCTAAAAGCAACTTTTCTTGCATTCAAAATTAAATGCTTGTCAAAAGCCAAATCAAACATGATTTGGAAGAGTGTCACGAGAGGACTGGCATTAAGGCTTAAGGCTCTAGTTCACTTCAGCTAAATCAATTGTGAGGCTATATGAGATTTGTAACATCTCAAAATTTATTTAATAGTTAAATTAATTAATTAGAGGGTTTAATTAATTAATTGGGTTAATTAAGGGATAATAATTGGGCTAGAATGGCCATTTAGGCCTGTTGGTATTCGAAGAAGGAATAAAATAGGGTTTTAGTAGCTAATAATTTAGATTAGGCCAAGATTCTTGGGATTAGTGAAACTACCCATTTTGGGTTGTTTGCCATGGCGAGCATGCCAAAATTTTAAAAATCATAGAAGGCAATCAATTTTTATTTTTGAGAGAAGTTTGGAGGTTTTGGCTAAGAGAAAGCTAAGAGCTTTGTTAGGTTTTGTCTTTAAGGCTCTGGAGAGTTGTTTGAAGCATACAAGGCCTTGGACAAGTCTTAAATACTCTTCATCTTCCTTCTTCTATGTGTTTTTGGCAGTTTTATTTTTGTAAGGGTAAGAATCCAAACCTAGGTTTAAGTTGCAATAACTTCTAGGGTATTAATGGAGCTTAGGATTGTCATCTAATGCTTCTTTACTAAAGTTTTAATGGTTGACATTAATTAATGCCATTAATGAGGGGTTTAGAGTTAACCTTAATGCTATGAAATTAAGTTTAAGCTAATAAGAGGTATTGACAGTGATTATTAGGCTTGATGAAGGTTAGATAAGCTAATGGAAGTTAGATATGGGATTATATATTCTTAATTTTGCTTAGTGGCATATTCTGCCTTAATTATGATTAAGAAATTAATTAATGACAATTAATCATTAATACTATTTTATGGCTTTGTGTATAGAACATAGTGTTTTGAAGCTTATGTTGGTGGAAAGCTCCCTTTGAAATCCAAAGCCATTCTCTTGAGGTGGTAAACCTAAGAGTTGAAATAACTAGAAACCTTATAATTGCATAAAATTATGTCTGTAATTTTAATTAGTTTAACATGTAATTAATGATGTGGGATGATTGGCATAGATTTGTTATGCTGTTGTGATCTTGAAAATGTTATTTGATTAATGATATGCTTGATTATGCTGTTAATTTGTTTAAATTGTGGTTGTGTAAGTTTTGTTGCTGGGAATAAGTTAAACATGGTAAGATGCATAAGTATATTGCATATGTATATTGAATTGGCATGTGCAGGTGGGTGAGAGTTCACCCTGGTTTAATCAAAAGCTAGTTTTAGTAAAAATTCACGTGGTATAGCCTCCATTGAGTTTGCATGTAGTGGTTGGCATCTTGGATTACTAATGTGTTTAGTATTGTCAATAACTTACAGGTGTGGCACGGGTCAGATACGATACTTAGTATCATTAATTCTGGATTGGACATTGTGGGTCAAGCAATGCATGACATCCTGAAATTTAAGTAAAGAAAACCTATCGATATGAGAGAGAATGTGGAAGCCTTTGGCTAAGTAACCTCTCACAATTAGAGAGTAGGTCTAGTTTTAGTCACATAAACTAGACTTGTACAATTTAATAGCTCATGGGTTCAATTAGATGATATAAAGAGGGATATAAGGCAGTTGTATGGATCATAAGCATTTATACATGTGAACTAATAGTTTATGTGATGATGTGATTGTATACGCTATTATTTATTCTTGTATGCAATTGCCACTCCTTGATATGCTCTCTTTAAGTTTCTTAGTTATTGAGTTTGTTGAACATTACTCCTATTATTTAATGTTTTTTTAGGGTATGAGAAAGTGAAGGGAAATGAAGAGGCATCGATGCTAAAGAACTAGAGATTTATTTGTAAAGTCTCTAGTTCTACTCTTAATGTAATGAAATGTTAACTTGCCAACTTTAAGATGAATGCATATTGTTGCATATGTGAGGATTATGATTCATTTTCATATGAGCCCAAATGTTAACTTGGGCAATTTTTTTAGCTGTTGGCCTCAAATTTTGAGTGGCAGATCAACCATATAAATGTATAAATATTATGAGTAACTTGTGATGCTTGTTTGGGTGCACTATAGTGTTAAGTAGAATACTATGCATGACTGTACTTGTAAGTTTGAATGTCTTGTGTTATGAGGGGAGGAACTTGGATTGTGCATGGAGTTTATAGACACAAGTTTGTACATAGTGTTCCAAGATCCTTATTTGGCATTGGATTGTGTTGAAAATGGTGGTAATAGCTAGATTGCTTAATGTAACATCTTTGAATTTTTAAAACTTGGATTAAGGAGTTAATAAGGGTAAATTAGTAAATTAGAGAATTTATCAAACCAATGGTGTTTCCGGACCAATTATGGGTTTATTGGATTTTTGGATATCCTTAGAAGTAGATTGGGATGGAGTTTGGGTCAACTAAAGCTGTGAGTGTAACATCCTCAATTTTCAACTTTGAAGTGTTAAGTGTTCAAAAGGGTTAAAATTATAAAATCAAGTAATTAATAAGCTAATAATATTTTTAGATGGCTAATGAAATTTTTAGACCTTTAGATAGCCTTGGAATAAAGGCTAGATTTGAGCTCGAGCAGACCAAGCATCAAGTGAGGCTTAAAATTCATTATAGGCTTACGTAGAAGCTAAAACAAGGGAGAAAAACATAAGAACACAAGTGAGGCAATGAAGGAAGCATCGGGCTTTGCTACGGCTTCATTTTGGGAGTGATTTGGAGGCATTTTAAGCTTGTTATGCACTAAGGTAAGTTTCTCTTCATTCCTTCCTCCCTCTATATGAAAGTTTGTGTAGATTTGGGTATTGTGGGGCTTGATTTTGGTTTCCCTTGGGTTTTAACCAAACCCATTAATTTAGTTAGGGTCTTAGAGAGTTAAATCAAGTTTATAATATTTGAGGATTTCATAGTGATTTGAGATTTTTGGTTAGGGTTTTGACATACCCTAAGTGGAATTTGAGATATTGGGAGCAATGTGGATGAAAGATTGATGTTATCTAAGTGTTTTGGTGCCAAATAGAATTAATAAAGTGTGTTAGAAGTGTTAACAGTGTTAAAGTAAGAATTTGAGTATAATGGATACTAAAATTAGGTAAAAAAGGGGTTTATTTTGAGTGATAATTAATTATTAGTGTTTAATCTTGTAGATTAAATATTGATCGAATACTGTTAAGAAAGTGGACTTTTGAGAAGTTGGTATTTGGCCACGGTTACCCTTTTTGTGATAAAAGGGTTGAGGTAACTGGACAGTCTAGTCTTTTTACTTGTGATTTGAGTAGTTATGAGCTTGTAAAATTATAATTATATATTATATTACATTATGAAAAGTTGAATTATGCATTATTCGTGAGTTTTGAAAAACTTGTGAGAAGTAGTATTGAACTAAAATGTTATTCTATATATAAAACTCTTTTTATGAGTTTTTGTACAATTTGTGAAGCAGATACTGCTACAAAATACTAGTATATATTGTAAGATCATTTTTCGTGAATGATATGCATTGTTATTAATGTATGAGCAAGATCATTATGAGGGTGTAGGAGTTTACCCTAATATTGTTAAGGCATATTTGTATAAAATTTATATAGTACACTAACACCATGGAGGCTTTGGTGCACAATTCTATTCTTGTTTGAAAGTCCAAGTATTATTTGACATAGATTAAGTATACGATACTTTGAGTATTTAAGGAAGGGAGAATCTATGGTCTAAGGCTGTGCAACCGATAAGATGGGTTAGCCAGAAGGGCTACCAACAGCTCATCTCGTTTTGCATAAAATGGGCTGGGCCAGTCTGTACCCTTATGTGGCTCGTTTTAGCCTATTTTCAAACGGGCTAAGGTAGCCCATATGAGTATAGGCGAGTTAAGGCTAGCCT